GAGGGTAAAAGTTATTATAAATGCGACATATTTAAAAAGCTTAAAAAGTGTCGACATATTCACTAGGGACGTGCATATGGGTTATTACTAGAATATTTTTCTAAAAAAAGCATGTACGCCACTGACTTTTGTTTCTCTTGTTAGCGAATTAGCCTTAGCAGTTTAATGCTTACGCTAATTAATATTTATATTAATATACATATAATAAATAATTAATATTTATACTGTTATATTAATATTTTGTCGAATTCGGCCTTCTTGATGAGATAAACGCAATTTTATTAATTTGCCTTGATCCAAGTCTAATAGCAATAACCTATAATAAAATATCAAACGAGCTTTACAAAATGCCTTTCAAGCTTTACAAAAATGCTTCAAGCTTTACAAAATGCCCTTCAACGAATTCCAAAGCACGAACGAATCATCTTGCTAGGTGACTTTAATGCCCGTGTAGGCAAACAACAGGAAATATGGCCTGACGTATTGGGAAAACATGGAATGGGAAACGCAAATAGCAATGGTGAACGCTTATTAACAACATGCGCAGAGTATAATCTTTGCATCACCAATACGTGGTTCATGTTGATGAACAAGTTTAAAGATACCTGGAAACATCCTAGATCAGGCCACTGGCATCAATTGGACCACATAATCGTTCGAAGGATGCATCTAAAAGATGTTAGGCTCACAAAAGCTAGAATAGATGCCGAATGCGGCACTGACCACCGACTTTTAATTTCAAAAATGAAAATCCAGTTAAAACCCAAACATCCACGCTGTAAAAAGCAAAACAACATGACCAGATTGAACGTACGGGATCTAGAGAACAAGAATACCGCCGACGCCCTCCGGGAAGCCATCAAAGAATCACTTCCACCGATAACTTCAATCTCAATATTGGAAGCTGAACAAGACTGGACACAATTAAGGGATGCGATTCATAAAACCAGCGAAGCAGTACTGGGAAAGTCGAACAAAAAGAAACAACCAGACTGGTTTGACGAAAATCAACAGCATATACAGGCTTTTTTGGAACAAAAGCATAGAGCACATCAAGCCGTCACTGCAAATCCACTTAATCCAAGACTGGTAGATAACTTTAAAGCAGCCAACAACACCCTTCGAAGAGAACTGCGCCAAGTAAAGGATAACTGGTGGTCACAAAAAGCGAATCAGATTCAAGAGTACGCCACTCATCACGATTATCGTAAATTCTTCGAGGCTGTAAAAGAAGTATACGGTCCAACTAAGAAGGTAAGCTGCCCAATCATGGCTCAAAATGGCGAACTTCTAAAAGAGGAAGAACAAATCAGAAATCACTGGAAAGAACATTACAGCCATATCCTTAACCAAGAAAACAACCCCAATATGGAAGCACTAAACACAATACCTCAGTATAACAGCCTCGATGTATTAGACATCCCAATAACAGAACAAGAAATAAAGACCTCCATAAAACAGCAACAAATCAGCTGGCTGTGACGCGATTCCGGCGGAAATCTATAAGTGTGCAAGTAAAGAAATTATGGATCATCTTAAGGCTCTCTTTGATGTCGTATGGGAAAGCGGAGAGGTACCTCACGATTTTCGCAACGCGAATATAGTGAATATATTTAAGAACAAAGGAAGTGCATCAGACTGCGGTAATTACCGGGGAATTTTGCTATTAGCTATCGGCGGAAAAATTCTTGCAAAAATAATGTCAAACCGCCTGCACCCATATATAGAAAAAAAATCCTCCCAGGATCGCAAACGGGTTTTCGTACCAACCGCGGCACCGTCGATTCCATATTTTCCATCCGTCAACTACAGGAAAAAGTAAAAAAGCAGCAGTCTAAACTTTATGTTGCATTCATCGATCTAACAAAAGCCTTCGACTCTGTGAACAGAGAGCGCTTTGGGCAATTATGGAAAAGTTCGGTGCACCCAACAAATTTCTTACAGTGTGTAAAAGCCTCCATAACAACAACAAGTCAAGAGTGTCACATCATGGATCACTGAGCGACCCATTCCTAACAAATACAGGAGTTAGGCAGGGATGTGTCTTAGCGCCTCTCCTATTCAACATATTCATGGCAGCGCTCTCCATTATAGTGGACAGCAAACTGCAGGAGAGAGGATTGGGCATTAGATACAGATATGACGGCGGTCTGTTCAACATAAAAAGACTCAGGGCAAAAACACGTACAAAATTTATCACAGAACTTCAATACGCTGACGACTGCGCTCTAGTTGCAAACACGGTACAACAATTACAAGAAATGTTGAACACATATACCTGGGCATACGAGGCTTTGGGCCTTAAGCTGAACATCGGCAAAACTAAAATCATGTGCACTCCCCCGGAAGATCACAACAATGCTATAAAAATCGGAGAAGAACTATTCGAATATGTGGCGGAATTCAATTACCTTGGCAGTTTGATTTCGGAAAAGGCCAATATTGACTCTGAAATTCAGCACAGGATTAGTAGCGCCTCAAGAGCATTCTGGAAATTAAAAGACAGGGTTTTCTACAATCATGACTTGAGTACAAAAACAAAACTTGCAGTATACCGAGCAATTATAATCCCCACCATGATATATGGGAGCGAAACCTGGGTGCCTTACCGCCGACACATGAACGCATTGAACAAGTTGCAACAGAGACACCTTAGACAACTCTTAAGAGTCCGGTGGTTCCATCATGTCTCAAACGTATCGGTCCTTGAAAAATCTAACTGCGAGAGTATTGAAGTCATGGTCACAAAATCCCGCTTAAGATGGGCTGGTCACGTATGCAGAATGCAAGAAAACCGCATACCAAAATCTCTGCTTTACGGTGAGCTTGTGGACGGTAAGAGGAGGCCGGGTGGACAACTGAAAAGATACAAGGACATTTTCCACGAAAATTTAAAGGGAATTAACATGCAGAATGAGTGGGAAAAAGCAGCTCACAATAGAACTCAATGGAGAAGGGTTGTAAACTCAGTTAACAGCGCAACCAAAAAGTAGAGAGGCAACAAAGCAATGAGATTTTTGAATGTCCGGAGTGCGGTAGGCAGATAACATCACGTATCGGGCTTTTCAGTCACAGAAAAGCTCATGAAAGAAAACGCCTTGCGTGACCATTTTCTTTATGTGTGTCGAATACTCGTCAGCGAGTAACGGCTGTATGTATGTATAATAAAATATCGCTAACTTGTGAAAGTTTTAAATAAGTACTCATTGATTTTTCATCAAAAGATATGAAAAAAATTGCCGTAAGTTGGACTAATAGTAATAATATTTAATAATAAATTAGGCAAAATATATTATAATTTATTACTTTTATTTTTATTTTAATTTGATTAATTGTGATTAATAAAATTAAGTTTATCTAATCAAGGAGGCCGAATTCGACAAAATATCAAGAGATAACTTTTAATTGGCATTAAACAGCTAACACAATTTTGATATCAATAGAAAAAAGTCAGTGGCGCACATGATTTTTTTTTGAAAAATATTTCGATGATAACCTATAGGCACGTCCCTGATAAATTTATCGACACTTTTTTAGCATTAAAATATGTAGCACTTATAGTAACTTTTACCCTCAAAATTTCATTGGAATCACTAAAAGTACTTGGAAAAAAATTATAATAAATGGAAAGATTATTAAGACTTTAACACCCTGTAGCTACGAAACAAAGCAGAATCGGACGTATGTTGACATGAAAAGTAATTCTTATTTTTATGTGAGAAATCACCCCACGAGAGATGACACATGTTTTTTTAATCATCCTGTGTTTATTAAGATTTATAATACTGATGTTGAGTGCCACCTATTGCAAATTCAAAAAAAAATTTAACATCCTTTTTAAGTTAATTTAAGTTAATTTTTAAGTTAATTGTATTTTATAATGTGTTTTACTTCATGTTCTGACTTATGTACGCCACATATCCTTGTATGGTATTGGCATCAGTAAATTATTTTATTCTATTCTATCCTATCCTGTAACTTTAAAACTATGCATTTCCGCACCCATATTTACAGGAACTTTATTTATATTTTTTTCATGAGGTATAAGTGAGTACTGATTTAACATTATGCAAGTTAAAAACTTTAAAAAAAATTAAAGCTTGCTAGGAGATTTATATATTAAGGCAAATTAATAAACTTTTGTTTATCTCATCAAGAAAACTGAAACCGACAAAATATCAAGAGATAACTCTAACGACCTACACAATTGCGCTAACAAAAGAAAAAAAGTTAATGGCGCACCAGTTTTTTTAGAAAAAATATTTTAGTTAAAACTTATATGCACGTCTCTGGTGAATTTGTCGATACTTTTTAGCATTATAATATGTAGCACTTATATATAGTAACTTTTACCCTCAAAATTTCATTCCTAAAATGTTTCTGTCTAGTAAAGCCAGCAACTTGTTTGCTACTAATATGTTGAAAGATCTTGAAAAATATTATCAAATTTAAAATCACTTTTTTATTTGATTTATCAATGACTTATAAGTTTATTAAAAAATATTTCGGTTTATTTTTTAAATAAAACATTACAAAAAAAACAATGAAAGTAAGTAATGTAAAAATAATAACAATAATTTATAGAAACTTTAACATTACCATACATCGATACATAATTTCTTTATATAAATACACATATAAATATAACAACACTATAAAGAAACACATTTTATTGATTTGGCGCACTTACGTGCCATCTGCCTTCTAATAGTAAAAGCTAAATAGATTCATGGTTTTTAAAGCTTCGCTGAAAGAGGGTTACAGGTTTCTGTCCACCAACCCTTATATAAAATTCTTAGGGTAGATTTCTATAGCATTTATATTTTGACTTCAAAAATATTCTTGAGGCTTAAAGCACTTTATCTTCAGTTTTCAGATGTGCTTTTTTTCATAATTGTGTAATAATTAAGGGACGTTAATTAATAAAAATACTTGTGTTTTGTATTTTATACCTACTTTATTATTAACAAAAGAATATTGGAAACTGATATTTTATTGGATTTTTTCTTCTATTTTGCATCTCATTGCTTAAGAAGCAGATTATGTTATCTGTGGAAGCACGTCTAATTGTCCATATTTACCTGAAAATAAGAAAAAAAATTATTTGGAATATCACATTAAACAATGCTTATTTTCAATAATTACGGTATACAGGGTTGTTCACCACATACGACACGGAGTATTGTAGCTAAACGATTAGATTTTTACAAATTGTAAGTTTTGGGTTCGTTAAAGGACTATTAACTACAATTTAAAAATATTTTTACAAGATACGGAGTGTCCCAAATAAATAAAAAATATCAAAGTTGTATTTTTTAAATGGAAAACCCTGTATATTATTACATTTTTAGTTTCTACGATTAAAATAAAGATAAATTTGATTAAGGTTTGTCACACTTAAAGCTTGCGGTTTTTGAAATATTTTCAATTTTGTGAAATTGCAGTAAAAATTTTAAGGCTTCATTTCTACAAGGATATGAAAGTTTTTAATACTAAATATTTACTGAAGTTTATTTATTAATCAGTTATTGTGTTGCAATAATAAAAATAATACTACCTGATACAGAGTGTCTAAAAATTTATTTTAAATAATTCCTACCTTTAAACGGCAATAACTTCTTTAATTTAAATGGAACATCCTATATATTTTAGGAGAATCACATGCACAATTTAATTGTCTATAAAATTGTATTATGCCATTTTTTATCTGTCCCTTCAAGTTTTCGTAGAAAATGCATTCTCTTATAATTTAGACCTCATTTATCAAAATATCCATGGAATATTGACATTTTAGATTATTTTTGAAGCAACAAATGTACAAAATGTACAGGTGCTAAAAACAATAATATTACTAGCCCATTTTTATATAAAAAGAAAATTATTTAAATCCTTATAAAAGAGTATACCATTAATTACATATACCACCATTATTTTCGCCCAAATATTAATTAATTACATACTTAGTTGTGTTAGTTAATAGATTATTTTAAATAAATAAGGATTTGAATCAGAAATTAATATAATAATAAGTAATAAAAATAAACGTCTCTGTTATAAATAAGCATTCGGCAAAAAATGAAATAAAATTTTTAAGGTAATACTTTTTACCACACTGTATAATACAAAATTCAGTTTTTTAGTCTTTGGAGCAATTATTATTAATCAACGCAAACAGTCAATTAATGTAGTTTGAATACTGGAATCTTATTAACTGATCCTCTTTAACAAATATTTAAACAGTTTTTTTTTATTTTTTAATGAAATAAACGAACTATAAAGGCAATATTAGTATCTGTACTCTTTAAAAATTTGATACATCTTTAAAAATAATCTAAACTGTCAATATTCTATAGGTATATTGATAAATGAGATCTAAATTATAAGAAAATGCATTTTCTACGAAAATTTGAAGATATAGGTGAAAAATTGTATAATACAGTTAGATAGCCAATTAAATTGTGCATCTAATTCTCATAGAATATACAGAGTGTTTCATTTAAATTAAACAAGTTATTGCCGTTTAAAGCCAGTAATTATTTAAAATAATTTTTTAGAAACTCTGTATAAGGTAGGATAATTTTTATTATTGCAACACAAAATTTAGTAAATAGAAAAACTTCAGTACAATATTTGATTTTAAAGACTTAAATACGCATAGAGAAATGAAGCATTAAAATTACTACTGTATTTTGACAAAAACCTAAATAAATATTTCGAAAACGGTAAGATTAAAAAGGCGGTAAACCGTAATCAAATTTACGTTTATTTTAATCGTAGAAACGGAAAATGTAGTAATATACAGGGTGATCCATTTAAAAAAATACAACTTTCATATCTTTTATTTATTTGGGACACTCTGTATTTTGTAAAAATATTTTTACATTGTATCAAGCTCTAATAGTTCTTTAACGAACCCAAGACTTGCAATTGGCAAAAATCTAATCGTTTAGCTACAATACTCCGTGTCGTATATGGTGAATAGCCCTGTATAAATATAAAAAAAATAAAATAGGAATAATATAGAATAGGTATCAAATATGAATTTTCTATTTGTGAATGTTATGTTTCAGTATATAATATATATTAACATTTAACATGTACAATATATTGTTAATTAAGATCAGAAAATTAGGATAGGAAGATAAGATATAAATAAGAGAAGCAAAAATTAAAAAAAAACAAGATATAAGATTAAAATAGGGAGTAAAAGAATTATCTTTGGAGTCTCCTTTAAAGTAAGGTACTAAAAATATTTATTTTATTTATGTATTTTACTTAAAATCTATATTTTATAATAGGGTTAAAATGGCATGTGCACATTTCCACACTCAGATGCAAAATTTTTGGTTAAGTTTAAAATGCTATATTCTTTAGCCCTATTTCTTGATTTTTTTATCAAACTGTATATAAATATATCAATTTTACCTTGTAAACTCAGTTTATTAAAAATTATAGTATTTGACTTATTATACAAGGTTAATCGAAGGGTTATTTTTACTTTTTTTTAAACACTCTGTGCAATAATTTCATGAGCAAATTTTCTTAAAATATTATTTTTCTGTCAGACCATGTCTCTTGAATATTTTGTTTTTTGGCTCATGTCATATGTGTTGACCTGCTTAATTTTTAAGAGCAAAATCAACTTACGCGAAACATTTTGCAATTTCTTTTTTTTTCCGACGACGGAAAGAGATAACTTTCCGAAACGTTTATTTAGCATTTTTTTCTTTGTTAGGCAAATTTGTATTACTGTAAACATAACTTCTGACAAGCAGCGTCCGTTTAGGTTTAACGCCCCCAGAAGTGTTTACAAAAAATAACTATTTTATTTTGTAGATTTTCTTGCAGTGCAGTGGCGAAATACCCATAAAGGATTTTTTTGGAGAGTTCGATTATTATTGATATTTTTTGATATTATTCTTCATAATAACGAGGTGGCTTTGGTGATTATTGTTATGTAAGAATATGGTTCTTAGTGTCGTAGATTGTGCAAAAGACATTGATATTGAGGAAGATGGCCCAAATTATGAATATTGACTTGGTCCTTGAAGGAGAGTGGGAAAACATAACACAGTATATTTGCAGCCTTTTTAATAGTATCAACCGATGTATACAAGCAGTTATAGCAGTCGGGGGAGTTAATACAAAGTATTAGTGTATTTTTTACAAGTTTTTGGTTTGTTTGTACACGTTTGTTACGTTTGTTTGTGTTTTCCAAAGCCACTTCGTGATATTAAAAAGGGGGGAGGGGGGGGCGGCGAAGCTAAATGTGGCCCCCGGTCTGTTCAGATAATGATATACTTCTAATGCATATTTTGTAAAAATTAAATGCCGTATGTATAATGGCTGACAAAATTCAAGTATTTATACAGGGTATCCCAGGCTGAGCCTGCGTTAGAAGTTTCTAGAGAACTACAATATCTAGATATGATATTTTGTGCATATCATTGTTTCACAATGAGATCTATCGATTAAAAATATTTTCAATATGGCGGCGATTTCGGAAGTACCGGAAGTTGACAGCAACTTTCTTATTTTAAATGGGTGACCCCATTTTTTATTACATACTTAAATTCTCTGTAAAATTTTATGAATTTTGACATTAAACACTCTATACCTAACGTTAACCGTTTTTGAGAAAAAAAAAAATTTATAATTTTTGGAGGAAAAAAACTGCCTGTCAGAAATATGTTTATAGCCTAAACGTCAAATTTAGTGATTGCTACAGCCACTGTACCATAAAGAGAAGACGTGTGGCTATCTATGTATGTCAAAAATTAAATTGTCCGAATGTCATAGAGAGTGTCCCAGAAATCAGTGCAAGTATTTTAACTGGTAGTATAGTTCAACCCCAGAAACACGCCCACGAGGTTTTTTTCGCGAAATTTTTTTTTTAAAATTCGAAATTTTTTGGAATTTTTTTTAGTTTTTAGTTAAAAAACCTAATTTCTTGATAATATGGCAACATAGATATTAGATTAAATTTACAAGAAAAAAAATCCAGAAAAGATCCAGTGGTTCTCAAAATTTTAGCAAAAAATCATTTTTTTTTGGAAATTTTCAAAGTAAAATAACTCCGTTATTTTGGACTTATTTGAAAAACGATAAAGAGAAAATATGTTTCTTTTGTCGAGATCTACCACCCCTTAAAATACTTGCACTTATTTCTGGGACACCCTGTATAATAATGGCCGCAGCTGCCATGGAATTGAGCGATTAAAAAATTATCATAAATCATTTTTATCAAATGGAAATCCCCTTTTTTTATTTCACTCGTGAAAAGGCTTTCGTTACTTTCGTTTTAAAAATTTGTTACTTTTTGATTATACATGTTCTTGTACCTAAAATAAATCGTTTTTAAGTTATTTAAGATTTAGCTTTAAAGCGTATATTTTTCTTGATTTTAACCAGTAGCCTATGACAGTATATTATCGATTATCATTTCCAAGCTAACTTTGCGCTGTTTTCTTTTTTTGATCGTACGGTATATTATTAAAATATCAACTACCGTATGATCGAATAAAAACGGCGTCCAGTTGGCTTGGAAATGACAATCGATGGCATTTCCTTTATAAATTTACATATAAAATGACAGCGATCTTCATTTCATAGCCATCGCTGACGCCGTTTTTATTCGATCATACGGTATTAGATATCACTAAAGAACGAAAATACGGCGATATATTTATATAAATACACTTCTTAAACTTTTAAGGCAGCAGTAGTTATAATATAGGAAATTGAAATAATTCATTTTCTGACAGATGGAAATAAATTTTCTGACTGTTTGACACTTAATGTCAAAGGAAACTAGATAAAATCAAAAAAATATACGTTTTCAAACTAAATCTTAAATAACTTAAAAACGATTTATTTTAGGTATAGGAATATGTCTAGTTAAAACGTAACGAATTGGAAAACCTTTTCACTAGTGAACCAAAAAGATGGGTTTCCATTTGAAAGAAAAATTATTTCTGATAATTTTTTAATTGCTCAATTCTATGACAGCTACCGCCATTATTATATGACATTTGAATAATTTAATTTTTGTAATAGATAGCCACATGTCTTTTCTTTATGG